AATTTTCGTGTGTGGGGGAAATATATTACAAAGTAATTTTCGATCAGCTGTTACCTACATGCTATTTAGAAAATAAATAGAGAGAAGGACTTGTTACTGCGCGAGAGCTACATGTAGTTAAACTGACTTAACAAGAGCTATTCTGGTGTTTCTTCAGCTTAAATAACAGGAAGCAGGCGTACACGCAAGCATGAACTGAACAGTAAAATCAGTACATTTCAAAGATGATTAGCAACTTATCTCAAACATATAAGTTTGTGCAAAATCGCTGGTTGTATGCTTTTATATAAATACATACTTGGAAATATAACAACTACAAACACAACACTAGAGCGACGAACTTTGAAATATAATATTGTACTTTACTTCTTGAACTTAAAGTTCACATAAAGGTTGATATATAGAATGATGGATTTATGGTATGAAATTGAATTGAACCAATTTAAATTTTCTCTAGACATTTCACTGCAGAGGTTATTTATCTTCACAAAATAGAAATTATGAAACACAATATTTGAGATTCCTCATTAAATGGTATATGCTGTAGTTTAAAAACAATCATGTTAAAGCAATGAAGAATTAACATTAATGACTCCATTCATTATTCACTCCGATCGACCTTAAACTTTTCATTTTTGGTATATTTTGTAAAAAATACTTCCAGCATGACTTTTTTCGGACAAATTTTGCCTGAGTTTTCATTCTATTCAATGAAAAATGTAACCTCTCTCGATTAATAGGACTGTATGCTTTTTGAAGCAACACGTCTATCGAACATGTGAAGAGCAAGTCACAATAAACACACGCATAATTGCAAAGTCATAGCAGGAGTAGCAATAGTAATCACAAGCTCGATTTCTGCACCAAAATAGCACGAAAACTATTTCATTTGAAAATACATAAATCATCGACCATAAAATTCAACTCCTGCAAAACAGAAAACTTGAAAAAGCTCATTTGCGTGCAATTCCTGATGCAACCGGTCTTCTAACAACGTTTCAAGCTCTTGGAATCAACAATAACATCAAAATAATTTTAATACTCAAAACAATTAAGTACTTTCTCGTATAAGGGTTGAATAAAGAAATTATTTCATTGCTACAATCACAACAGATATCAAGTACACAAATTTCTCCAAAATATCAAATTGACGACATAGGATTTAATTTTTGACCAAAACTGAACGACATGAATTGCAATAACTCATTTATTACTTTCGTTTCAAAATCCCAAAAGAAAACTTTATAGAAGCCCCGTTGCGTGCTATTTGAAATAAACTGCTAAGCCAGGAAAAAAATCAGATTCCTAGTATCGTCAATGATTTCAAAATAGTTTTATGAAATAGATCAGTTGAAGATGAAGTAATAAATTCTTTCAATATCACAACTGATATCAAATATAGTTAAACGTGGTTCTACCTGAAGGTATTAATTGATGTTGTAGAGCCCAAAGCCAGGTCACAAATTAAGTCCCACAATGCAAATAATTCTTCATTCATAGATCACAGAATAGGATAGACTGGAAAAAAAAGGTGATACGCCATTTTTACATTTAAATTTGCAAGAAAATGCAGTATAAAAAATAACATGGTTTTGCTAATGGTTGAAAGTTACAATTTGAGATAAAATGTACATTTTGCCTGCTAAAAGATAAACTACAGGCTATATAGTGTACTTTTTTGGAAAAAATATGGAGGAAGTTATTAATTACTATCTATGAAACGGATATACTTCATCCGATGAATGATTTGCATTGCACTAAGTTAAAACAACTTCATCCAGAACAATAAAAATCGCTATTCGCTTGATGAATTTATGTAAAGCTCAAAGGTATAAGGCCATCCCATTTGTGATTGATCAAATTGTACGACGTTGACAAATAATAAAAAAATCATGGAGTATCTTTTTAAAAAAATAGCAAAATATAAACATTATCTTTCTTTCAATATTAAAGTTAGGTTCAGTTAGCCTCATAAAAAAAGGATAATGGCTGAATCGCATGTTTTAATAAACCTTGGTGGTTGTTTCTTACTTTGAAACAGACCACGCATATTTGGTAAAGAAATTTGAATTTTGCAACACGTCTGCTTCAATTGCTTTACGACGGACCAAGGATATAGTTTAAATATATTATTCTGTATAGATGCACAAAATGAATCTCTGAAAAAAAAATTGCCCTCTATAGAATGCATGGTTTGGAGTTAATTGACACATAACAAATTCAGTTTTAAGATTAATAGGCAATATTTTTCAGCAGTGCATTGTACGGGCACGCTCAAATTGTGTGCATTAAAACATTAACTTTCTCATCTGTTGCAATTAACAAACTAATATTAATCATCTTAATCATATTAATCGTCAACTACGCAAGAACGATCATTCTCTACCAATTCTACGAACTTCTTACAGTTATTATAATTCATTGTGGTTCAGTTACTGCAGGACGTAATCAAGGACGAGTACATTTGCCTAGATATCGGATCAGATACAGGTAAAATATACTTGCAAGTTCCTCAATAGCCTGAATTTTAGACGCTTGTAAATTCCTGATAGGTAATGGTAAGCGTCTCTTATTGGCGGCCGAATTCTTGTTTTCTCAGGTGATATTTCCCAATAAGATGGGGAAAGATTTTAATGTTAGCCAAATTTTAATCCATCGCTCACTTCAGCTAATGGGGAACGCATTAATTGCATTTATTGTAATGTGTTTAAAAATTTCGTGAATTACCTTCTGCTCAGAAACAATAAACACAGATAGACAAACGAGCTCCTAGCGTGGGTAACAATTTAACAATATTTTTTAATAAAATAACTGTTAAGCACACTTGCCATTAAACTTCGTTGTCCATATTTTACTACAAAAAAATTCTACCTCCAATTAGTAGCATTCCCTGTAAGGAATTTACAATCGTCAGCAAGAATGGTCCGGCTCTCAAGTGAACGAAAGTATATAATTAGATCAGTATGTCTTAATCAATACAATCGAATTATTTGCGTCACTCTTGTGGATGTTTTAACTCTTCAGCAGGCAAATTTTTTGTTCTCGTGTTTAAAATTGTTTTGTTTTTGCTGCCACATAACAACACTGCCTATAACAAGTAAATAAAGTCGACTATCAAACTGTATATTTTCCCATCAGTAATTCAAGACAACTGTTTTTACACAAAACAAAGGAAAAGTCGACATTAGGCTGCTTCAAGAAGTATGTCAATGGCTCTAGACAAGTTTCAAATCTCCTTTAACCAAGGAGAGCCACTGGCGGCAAACGTAGATAATTGGGGGGGCTATTTTCATATATTCGTATGTTATAATCCGTAAACACAATTGATTTCAATAGAAACTAATAAAGTAAAACATGCATTTATGAATATTAACACCCCCCCCCCAAAAAAAAAATTGTCAATGTTCCGCCGACCTTGAGGAGAACTTCAGATTTTTTCTGGAGATCATCAGATTCTTTTAAAATGTCAACAATCGATTGTGACAACTTCAAAGGTGGCGCACAAAAATTTGCAACATTTATGATTCACAATTTGAATGCATGACAGTTGATAACGATGGCGTGGTGTATATTCTTTCAGGTTATTGAAGAGAAACACTTGAAAATATCTATTGAAAGTTTTTTCAAAACATGGCAACTATATTGTCCAACAGTCTACTTTGTATTTCCTTAACACCAAATTTCGCACAAAATTTATTTATGGTTGCAACACAATATGAAAAGTTGTTGTTGCATTTGTTGAAGGTGACCAACGTAAATTCACTGTATGTGGATGTCTAAAATCCTACTCTGCACACCTTTCACAACTAATAATTTCTTTCATAGTGTTGTAGAAAATAATGCAATAGCAAATATTGTCAAAGTTGTCGCAAGCAATAGTGTGCCCAATAAGCAGTATTTACATTTTTCCACGATAATGTCAGCAATATTTATCAAAAGAAATAAAATTGCAAATGTAAAAAATTCTTAATACCATTAGATAGATTAGCATGAGATGAGTGAAAAAGTCTATTATACAGTTTACTTTTAGTGACTCGTTTATGAATCATCAATAACTATTTGCGACCATGATGTTGACACAGCATTTTAAGGTGTTTACTTAAACCATTGATCTGAAAAATTAGTACCTGGATAGAACTTCTACGTATGAAAACTGAAACGAGCTTAGATTTTACTCACCCGATTCTTGGGACCACTTTAATACAATATGGCGTAGAGTTGACTGAGCGATTGCGACGATGCTTCGTCCAAGATTATTGTACATGAATAGCAGCAGTTTTGAGAGTATCAATTGGTGTAGCATGAACAAAGCATCGTCGCAATCGTGTATAGCTATTTCTACATCATATTGTAATAGAGTGGTCCCAAGAATCGAGTGTGTAAATTCAAAACTGGCTTCAATTTTCATAGTGGTTTCATACGTAGAAGCTCTATACCGGTACTATTTTTTCAGATCAATGACTTATACCACAAGCAAATCCGCCAGCTTGCGCACCTTTATCGGCTGTCACCTAAATCTAGAAAGAAACTTCCAGAACAGCAGATTTTCCATCAATTTTCCCTTTTTTTATTGACATATAGTTAATGAAAAAATTTTGAACGAATCAGGTCGGAATGTCATATGAACAGCCCCAAAATCTGCAAAGTAATTGATGCTGTATATTCAATTGATTTCTGCGTGCATTTAGCAAACTTGGGCCAAGTTCAAACATCGAAATTTACGTGAACCGTAAGCATTTAAATCAAAAGATAATGAAGATGTTCATCTCATTTAATTTTGTTATTAATGCGACGGTGCATGTAAAGTTGGACGCTTGAAACAGGACTCAATGACGTAATTGGAGTTTGAGACGGAAGTGAGCTTTTGTCTCAAGACACAAATTAATATGTCAACACTTGATTGCATGATTGGCTCAGTTAAATGAATTTGCACATTTATTTGAGACAAATCCCGTTCGTCAAGGTTTACAATTTCAGTCAACATTAACTGATGAAGAAATATGAGTTCAAACACATCCGGAAAAGATTCTTCCAAAGAAGATATGCCAGAGGCGACAGCTACGGTTTCTGCAAGCAGTTTACGCTTTGAAACAGAGAATTACAGTGAATTCCGTTTCTCGTCATGCATTGTACCTACAGGTCAAGAACAATCAGCAGCATCCACAAGCCACACACCTTACCGTTATATTCAGTTTCTTAAAGAAATTATTGAGAATGCACCACGCAGACAGATAACTTTATCCAAAATCTACAAACTCATCAACGAAGAATTTTCTGTTTATGCAACTGCTGCACGCTGTTGGTATTCTCACGTTAAAGAAGTCTTAAGACACTTTGACTGTTTTGTTGAAATACATAGGATATCGAGGGATAAAGATAGCGAACGTTACTGGACAGTAGATCCGGAGTACCGTGAAAGTATCAGTTCCATCCACAGTGTTTCACAAGAAGCGGAGAATGCGCAACGGGTGCCATCTTATGAAAGACCAAATTGCAATAACATAGAACTAATACAGAAGGCAATCATGAGTTCACTACTTGAAAAAATGACATAGCATTAAATTTGTGAATTTGTGGATGATAACTTCCCTTACTTCATCGACTATCGAAGTGTTTGGCGTTTCGCGATAAACTTCATCTTATTACGCAGCGAAGAGTTTGTTACAATAGAATGAAAGCCAGGGTACTACAAACAGTTCTGTACCGTGTTCATCCGTCTCCATGCCTACACAACAATCTAAACCTTTTACATCCGTCTCCATGCCTACACAACAATCTAAACCTTTTACAAAGAATAGAGAAACATCAGATTACGAAGAAGACCCATTTTATACTAGATAGAGTTTCACGGTGGAAAAACTTCATGAAAATCTGTGACCTTAAACAGAAATAGAGAATACATAAAGATATTCGCACGACGATTTGTGATAAATCATTAAATCTTGATATTCAAGATATTACAAGAGTTTGATACAAAATAATGTGTAATATTTCGTCTTTATTCCAAAGACATTATCAGACTTATGGTTTACAATGCAGGCTGCGAAACATTTATATAGGTGCACAAAAGGAATCTCTTAAAAAAAATGGCCCTCTATAGAATGCATGGTTTGTAGTTAATTGACTCATAACAAATTCAGTTTTAAGGTTAATAGACAATATTTTTCAGCAGCACATTGTACGGGCACGCCAAACTTGTGTGCATTAAAACATTAACTTTCTCATCTGTTGCAATTAACTAACTAATATTAATGATCTCACTCCGCAAGTACGAAAATTCTCTACCAATTCAACAAACTTCTTACAGTTATTATAATTCATTGTTGGTCAGTTACTGCAGGACTTAATCAAGGATGAGCACAATTGCCGAGATATCGGATCAGATACAGATAAAATAAACTTGCAAGTTTCTCAATAGCCTGAATTGTAGACGCTGGTAAATTCCTGATAGGCAATGGTAAGCGTCTCTTATTGGCGGCTACTTTTTTCAAAACATGGTAAATATATTGTCCAACAGTTTACTTTACACTTCCTTAACACCAAATACGCACAAAATTTATTTATAGTCGCAACACAATATGAAAAATTGTTGTTGCAATTTTTGAAGGTGACCAACGTAATGTCACTGTATGTGGATGTCTAAAATCCTACTCTGCACACCTTTCACAACTAATAATTTCTTTTATAGTGTTGTAGAAAATAATGCAATAGAAAGTATTGTCAAAGTTGTCGCAAGCAATAGTGTGCCCAATAAGCAGATATCTACATTTTTCCACGATAATATCAGCAATCACTAGGTTAAATAGTTGGAATGTTATTAAACAAAAAGAATGATACCCTAGCGCTATAACCAACAACTACAAACAATAACGACCTTATCTAACAACATTTGAGAAATTAAACTTCCACTCCTCTTCCTTGTAAACCAGACAAGTCTACTCAAACGCAGAGAGCCTTATACGCTACAAGTCCTGGAATATGGAATTCGAGCTTTGTCCATATGAGCTGTTCAACATGCTTCCAAACAAAAATGAGCAGGAATATTCAGTTAATTAAAGTTAATTAATCTATGATAAACCGTTAATCTTTAACTCTGCTATACGGGTCACAAGCCCTGGACTTAAAGCCTATAAGGCTCTCTGCTTTTGAGTAGACTTGTCTGGTTTACAAGGAAGAGAAGAGAAGGCTCATTCTCAAATGTTGTTAGATAAGGTCGTTATTGTTTGTAGTTGTTGGTTGTGTGCTATCATTCTTTTGTTTAATGTCAGCAATATTTATCAAAAGAAAAAAATTGCAAATATAAAAAATTCTCAGTACCATTAGATAGATTAGCATGAGATGAGAAGTATATTATACAGTTTACTTTTACTCACTCGTTTATGAAACATCAATAAGTATTTGGTACCATGATGCTGATACAGCATTTTAGGGTGTTTACATAAACCATTGATCTGAAAAATTAGTACCTGGATAGAGCTTCTACGTATGAAAATTGAAACGAGTTTAAATTTTACCCACCCGATTCTTGGGACCACTCAAATACAATATGGCGTAGAGTTGACTGAGCGATTGCGACGATGCTTTGTCCAAGATTACTTGTACATCAATAGCAGCAGTTTTGAGAGTAACAATTCGTGTAGCATGAACGAAGCATCGTCGCAAACGCTCAGCTATTTCTACACCATATTGTAATTGAGTTGTCCCAAGAATCGAGTGTGTAAATTCAAAACTGGCTTCAATTTTCATAATGGCTTCATACGTAGAAGCTCTATCCAGGTACTATTTTTTCCAGATCAATTAATTATACCACAAGCAGATTTGCCAGCTTGCACACCTTTATCGGCTGTTACCTAAATCTGAAAAGAAATTTCCAGAACAGCAGATTTTCCATCACTTTTACCTTTCTTTAATAACATATAGTTGGTGAAATAATTTTGAACGAATCAGGTCGGACTGACTATATGGCAAAAATATTGAGCTTTTATAGGAAATATGTTCAAATCTTTCATACAAATTGTATGAACAAGAAATTTACTTGGGTTTTCTTGGTTTTCTGTTCATACACAATTCTTTTTTATCAAGTTTTTCTGTTCGTCAATGTAATGTTGTATACAGTTTTCAATTAAACACTCTTTCAAACTTGATTCGTTCAAAATACACATTTACTAAATACAAGTTACTGCAAAAGTTTTAAACGGGTGAATATGATTGCCAATCTGGTGTTCAGGAGATTTGTGTTAGGATTTAGGTGAAAGCCGGTAAACCTGGGTGAGTAAGTATGTCTGTCTGTGGTATAAGACAAGATATATCAGTATCATGATAAAAATGAATGACCGAATTAAAACGGTTTAATGTATTTTTTTACCAAACTGAAGTTAGTCTATGTAATTTCACTTATAATTTTCTGAATTTGCAAATTTTTGATTTTGACGATCACTTGATGACGTCATCGTTAATAAAAAGTAAAGTTCTTGCTTATTGTGCACACTTAATGCTTTGCTCCACATTTAATACACGCTTTTATATGATTCACTATGGCACCATGAAATTAAACTAAAGTTGTTGGATGTGTGCAGCGAAATTGTAATTTTGAGCACATTGGTCAACGGTCTAAGTACTTTTTGCTTCGTGTGTCCCTCGAATTGCTTATTGTTGAAGATGAAGGGTGATCAATATTGTGAAGCATGTGAAATTAACAACACAATATGAACGTTTTTGCTCTAGTATTTTTGTTTGTAATCAAACGTTGCTAACAACTTGACAAAATACGAGCAACAAGCACTCAAACCACTACACGACACGTGACTGGGGTCATGGACAAGACTTATTACTTCGACAAAATGGACACACTTGTTAAAGACAGACAAACGTTTAAAAAAAACAAACAAACCCAACAACATCACTACTACGCAAACTTAACAGCGAGATCTTCTCTTTGAAAAAGTCTAACAGCATATCTAAACGTACTTACTATTGACTTAGTTATTCTGTACCACGACCACCTAAACTTTACACACCACAAATACCCTTGCAACCAATTGTATCATTCTGTGGGTCGCCTACTTACGAACTTTCACAGTAGTAGACCGACATACTGAAACCACTTACCAGCAAATCAAAACACAAGCTATAATCTACTGTGCATCTACTTGTGTTTTGCACATTTTTCACGGTGTAATTACGGAAAAACTGCATTGCAGTTAACCAATAACAGTAAAGAAATATCTCAGGGTAAATTATTGATTGAGTTAAGCGCAGGCCACACTATTGTTGAAATGCAACGAATTTCGTGATGATGTGCTCGTTAACGAAAAAATAAGACAACGCGGCCGAATTCGTCGACGATGAGCATGCACACCGAAATCATGGGCGGAAATCACTTCTTCCTACGTTGATTTTTTGTCCATGAATGTTTTGACAAAATTGTCACAGTGTGGTACCAAAGGCTCGTCACGAATTCTCGTTAAAGAGCAACTCGTCACAAAATTCGTTGCACTTCAACGATAGTGTGGCCCGCGCTTTAAAAGGGCTTCAAAAACGTTATCATATTTTCATAAGTTGGTACGAACATGGAAAAAAAAACGTTCTTGAGCAATTCTTTATATTCTCTGATTTTGCAAAATCACAAAACCTTTAAAATGGAAAAAAATAATTTGCCTGAATGCAAAATTTCAAGTAAATGATTTATGACGCTTAAGTAACGGTTTAAGTTTTGAGCTTGAAGTTTTTATTCCTTTCATTTAACTGGGCTCATGTAAACAGCCCCTAAATCTGCAAAGGAATTGATGCTGTATATTCAATTGGTTTCTGCGTGCATTTAGCAAACTTGCGCCTTGTTCAAACATCGAAATTTACGTGATCCGTTAGCATTCAAAACAAAAGATAATGAGGAAATTCATTTCATTTTCTTTTGTTATTAATGCGTTTGGTGCATGTAAATTTCGACGTTTGAAATAGGACTCAGTGACGTAATTGGAGTTTGAGACGGAAGTGAGTTTTTGTCTCAAATCACAAGCCATGTCTATACTTGGTTGAATGATTGGCTCAGTTAAATAAATTTGCACATGTATTTGAGTAAATTCCGTCCGTCAAGGTTTACAATTTCATTCAACATTAACTGATGAAGAAATATGAGTTCAAATACATCCGGAAAAGACTCTTCCAAAGAAGATATGCCAGAGGCAACAGCTACGGTTTCTGCAAGCAGTTTACGCTTTGAAACAGAGAATTACAGTGAATTCCGTTTCTCGCCATGCATTGTACCAACAGATCAAGAACAATCAGCAGCATCCACAAGCCACACACCTTACTGCTATATTCAGTTTCTAAAAGAAATAATTGAGAATGCACCACACAAACAGATAACGTTATCCAAAATCTATAAATCTGTTTATTCAACTGTTCCACCGTGTTGGTATGCTCACGTTAAAGAGGTCTTAAGATACTTTGACTGTTTTGTTGAATTACATCGGATATCGAGAGATAAAGATAGCGAACGCTACTGGACAGTAGATCCGGAGTACCGTGAAAGTATCAGTTCCATCCACAGTGTTTC